CTAGGGGATAAATTGTTTTCAATTACATTGCCCTACGTAGGTCTATCTCATACAAACGTGAGACTTTTCCTTTCGATACACATTCAATAATTACAACATAAGGCTGCTGCGAATAATGAATTTTAATATCTAGGAAAAGTTAAGAAGAATGGACAGAGCAAAATCTCACAAGTGCAAATCTTGTATTTGAAGCCGTGCCTTGTGTCCAAGAGTTTGATTTGATCCGTTTGGTTTGGTATGCATTGTATTTGAGGTTTAGGGAAAAATAGTTAAACTAAAATCAACTTTATAAATTTTGTGATTGGAACAGACAAGGACATGACGTGATTTTATTGAAAAGATCATGAAGGAAGTCGATAACCTGCAACCCGTTACACAATGCTGATTATTCAGGTGGACTTTAGTCTCGAGCGCTGAAAGTAAACTCTTCTAAATGTTGGATATTATGATGGAGTCCTAATGGTAGGGATTGTGGCATTGGTGGAATATGTGAAACAACAATTGCTGAAAAAGTAAGCAATTTGATTGCTGATTAATTTGGGGCTTTCTGCTTTGTTGCTATTGTCAGTGAATCGATGTCCTTGTTTATTTAGGGGATTGCCCTTCGGCACAGGAGCTAGCATATGATAGTAAAACCATCTACTTGGAGTGAATGGGACTAGATGAGGATTGTCAGCCACATGTGCTATTTCATATGGACTGCATGGTGCGCTAGAATGTTCTTGAGAATCTGAACAAAATCAATATTTTTCATGCTGTTTTAAGAAGTGTATTAGAGAGGAGGCTAGCGTCCAGAATCTCAAGAAGACCATCCTATCCCCTGATATTGAGAATCCCCAGGCTAAAACTTGATCTGGACGGCTCAGTTCTCAAGTACGGAGCTCACAAGTAAAATTGGATATTTGGATTATATGTCCAATTCTATTGAAGAGATTGAAACGATCTTGTTTGAAAGTTTGCTTGCTCAGAGGACTTACGAAGATTGATGTTTTTCCAGATTCAAATGAGGCTTACAATCTCATAAGATCAGATCGTAACTAGAGAGACCTGTTTTTCTATGTGGTAAGTGAAGTTTGGAGGTTAGAGTTGCTGGATTGGGATATCATCATCATCATCATGTGCATAGAGAAGCCATCAGCGTGGCAGATTGGTTCGCTAGATGATGTGCTCAAGGTCTCTCTGATGGTGTCCACGTGGTTGATGAGATTTCTCCAGAATGAAGTCACCTTTCCCTGTTGGACCGTAGCTTGAGTTTTTGAGTCTTCTATTTAGACTCCTTTTGTATGGGAAGAAAATGTCAGAGATAGTGCACAAAAGTCACACTATCCTTAACTGCCCGAGAAATTGATGGAAGTCGCTGAAAACAAGAAGTTGGCACTTGTCAAATGGCAATACGTCACTGAGTTGACTGCATGTCCATCCAAAGCCAAAAGGTTTGTTTCTTCTTCAATACTACACCGATCTTCTACTGGTCACCGGTTTGGCAGAAGAGAATTTGGGCGAAAATTTCTTATTTACATCTTCAGACTTCAGGTTAGGGATGTAATCTAGACTAAATTATTTTGTGACCCGTAGTTTCCTTGTGAATGCATATCTATTTCACACCCATTCTGTTGACTTGGTCTTCTCGTTCTATTACATGACTTCTCATGTTTTCTTAACTGATGAAACTATGATTTTATTGACTTGATTTTCTATTGCGACACATCATTTTTTGTCCGCTTCCTGTGATTTCCTCTCTCACTCTGTTTTTTAATTTTTTGGGCACAGTGTTGTGGGTCAACTCACGAGTCTGAGAAATATATGACCTGTGAATTTTTAATTTATTAGAGCTTTTATATTATATACTGAATATGTATATTAGAACTTTCAAGTAGTGGTATTTTTGTTGATTCCCTGGCAGGTCTAGCATCATTTCTACCTGCTACCATGGCCGAGAAATCACCTTCTTCCTCTTCCTTGTCTTATGAATGGACTTATGATGTCTTTCTCAATTTTAGAGGTAAAGATGTTCGGTTTGATTTTGCTAGAAACCTCTATGAGGCTTTACAACAAAAGGGTATCCATACTTTTATGGACAACGAAAGGCTTAGAAAAGGAGAAAAGATTACACCATCACTTCTCAAAGCAATCCGAGAGTCTAGAATGGCTATTACTATTTTCTCCAGAAACTATGCTTCCTCTACATTTTGTTTAGATGAGCTTGTTCAGATCCTTGAGCGTATAAATAAACAAGGTAGATTGGTTTTGCCCATTTTTTATGACGTGAATCCATCAGAAGTTCGAAATCAGAGAAACAATTATGGAGAAGTGTTTGCTCAGCATGAGAGGAGGTTTAAGAATTACAAGGAGAAGGTGCAAAAGTGGCGGTCGGCTCTACAAGACGCTGCTAGTCTCTCGGGTCTCCATTTCAAACCTGGGTATTTAAGCACGTTGCCTCTTTTTTGCTTTGCATCTTTTATTTGTTTATTTTAATATAGATAATTACTAACATATTAATATCTTAGAGAGGCTAAAGCACGAATTATGACTTTCAAAATTTGAAGTGTCATTTTTCCTTTTAGTGTTTATGTGTCATAAAAGAGAAACGAAAACAGAGGGTGAATTTATTTTGCCTAATAAAGTTGTGCAGTTGATTTGATAGTTAGTCTCTTAAAGATACGTAAAAAGTTTGAATCTTATATTGAGATGTTTTGTGTCTGTTTGTTTTGATGCATTTGATATGAATCACAAGTTGTGAGAATTTTTCCAAAAATCTGTTGTTGGTGCAGGAATCAATATGAATATGCTTTTATCAAAGGGATTATTAAAGAGGTCACTAGGAAGATTCACCGCAGACCATTGCATATTGCTGATTATCCAGTTGGGCTTATGCCTCGAGTGCTAAAAGTAAACACTCTTCTAGATGTTGGGTCTAATGGAGGAGTCCAAATGGTAGGAATATCTGGCATTGGTGGAATAGGAAAATCAACAATTGTTCGGGCAGTATGCAATTTGATTCTGGACTCGTTTGAAGGTTTTTGCTTTCTTGCTGATGTTAGAGAAAATTCAATTAAGCATGGCCTGGTATATCTCCAAGAAATGCTTCTTTCTTATGTGTTTGAGGAAGACATCAAGTTAAAGAGATGTTAATGCAGGAATTCCAATACTAAAGCACAGGCTCCATAGAAAGAAGGTTCTTCTCGTTCTTGATGATGTTGATAAGCTAAAGCAATTGCAAGCAATTGCTGGGGGGCTTGATTGGTTTGGTTCTGGTAGTAGAATCATTGTAACGACAAGGGATAAGCATTTGTTAGTAAGGCATGGTGTTGAAAGAATTTATGAGGTAGATTGTTTGAATAGTGAAGAAGCTCTTGAATTGCTTAAATGGAATGCTTTTAAACAAAAGGGAATTGATGCAAGTTACATGGACATTTGTAACAATGTAGTACTCTATGCATGTGGCCTTCCTTTGGCTTTGGAAGTTATAGGTTCCAACTTGTTCAATAGAGAAATAAATGATTGGAATTCTGCATTAGAAAGTTACCGAAGAATTCCAATGAAAGAGATCCAACAAATTCTTAAGGTAAGTTATGATGCTTTGGAAGAGTATGAGCAGGAAATTTTTCTTGACATTGCTTGTTTCTTTAAAGGTGACACATTCGAATATGTAAGAAGTGCTTTGTATGCTCGTGGTATGTGCCCAGATTATAGTATTAAAGTGTTGACTGAAAAATGTCTCATAAAAATTACTCATGGTATGGTGACAATGCATGATTTGGTTCAAGCCATGGGTAAAGAAATTGTGTGACAAAAATCACCACATGAGCCTGGCAACCGCACTAGGTTATGGTTTCATGAAGACATTATTCATCTTTTAGAAGAAAACAAGGTAAGAGTCATTTGTACATTTGTTTTTTCTTATCATTATTTTTTATGGTCATATTGTTCTCAGGTTTTCCCTAATCTTAAATCATCTACCTGGGGGATCTTGAGTGCTCACATAGCTTTGTTTTCCCTCTTCCTCTTCCCATTCCTTGACTAACTTGGTATTATTTATTTATTTCTAGGTTATAATATAATATTTTTATAGAAATTTATATCAATTCCTAATACATCTAACAAATTTTGTGGTTTATTCTGTTATTTGGTATGAAAGGGTTCTGCGAAGATTGAAGGCATAACTCTAGATATGCCTGGAGATAAAGTGATTGATTGGAGTGGAAAGGCTTTCAAAAAGATGCCGAATCTTAAGATGCTTGTTATCAGAAATGCACGCTTTTCTACAGGCCCCAGGCATCTCCCAAACAGTTTAAGAGTGTTGGATTGGAAGGGTTATCCCTGTCCATCTTTACCTTCTGATTTCAACCCCAAGGAACTAATCATCCTCAAGATGCCTGAAAGTTTCCTCAAACAGGATATGCTACACAAGGCATGTAGAATATTGCCATTTTTCAACATTAATTTGTTTTATTATGAAGCAAGAACTCTTAAAAATTTGTTCCATGACTTGAATATTGTCTGTATTGGTGTTTCTGCTTTTTAGTATTTTCTGATGTTCTTACAATTTATTAAAGACTAATTGTTTCTAATCTTGTTTTGCAGAAGTTTCAATCTTTGAATGTGATGAATTTCAGAGGATGTAAATTTTTAAAAGGAGTTTTTGACTTATCTGGAGTCCTGAATTTGAAGGAATTGTGTCTGGAAGGCTGCATCAATTTAACTGAAGTTCATGTTTCCATTGGATTTCTTGATAAACTTCAAAGTCTAAGTGTTAAAAACTGTTGAAAGCTCGAGACCTTTCCGAGTATCAGGTTAACATCCCTTGAGTTTCTAGACCTTTCAGGGTGCTCCAGCCTATCAAGATTCCCAGAAATATTAGGAAGTATGGAAAATATCAAAGATGTCTGTTTAGACAATAGTGGCATAAAAGAATTGCCTTTGTCGTTCAAAAACCTTGTTAACTGGAAAAATTACAACTTACATTTTGTAGAAGCATCGAAGAAGTTAGAGGGATTCCGCCAAACCTAAAAGAATTGTCAGCAGTAAACCTTGATTGGTACTCGCACTTGAGCTCAGAGTCTCGTAGCATTTTACTGTGTCAGGTTAGTCTCTCTCTTTAACACTTGGCATTTGCATATATATGATGACTGATGACCCTCTTAAAGTTGGTTTTCACATTTACACTGAAATATTGTTGTCTGATAAAAAATGACATGATACTTGAACAAAACAAAGATTACATCATGTTTTAAAGTTTTGATTGCCCTTGATCTCGTGCTTCTATTGTAGGATCTAGCTTGGGTTATTGATTGCTATTAATCTTACAAATGACCTTGTTCTTCACCTGTTTGGCAACAGGCTTTACACGAGGTTGATGGCTTGAAGTTCATAGTAGAAGAAGACAAGACACCAGCATGGCTTGACCACCATGTCACTGGAGATTCATTATCTTTTTGGTTTCAAAAGGAATTCCCAAACATGACTGTATGTTTTGGTGCTTTAATAGAGGACCTATGGCACTTACCACCTAGACTGCTCATTGGGGTCCGAATTAATGGCATGGATGTTGGATTGCCAAATGGTCAAACAATTCTTGGATCACTGACATCACAACATGTCTTTCTGTTTGATTTGCGACGCCTAGTTCTTGTGCATAAACTCACGAGTGTAGTACTTGAGGATGGTGGGTGGAACCATGTGGAGATATCCTGTGCCATGAGTTACATAAATTGTTATCCAGAGGAAGATGATAAAATGTATGGAGTAGCAAGGGCAAAATGGATTGGAGCATATGTTCACAAGCGAAAATCCAGAATGGAAGATATTCGGTTCATAAATCAGAACGAGGAAGAACCTGTCCCTGACCAGTTATTGAAAGGATATTCTTCCATGTATCCACACAGTCATGCTGCGTTAGTCCTGCATAGAGTGAAGTGGCCTCGCATTGATTTCAAAGTTAGCCAAGACAATGGTAACAATGCAGGCACGTCTCTTTTATCCAAACCCATTCCTGAATCTCATTCAGTCACTGGAAGAGACAATGATATGAGAAAAAGCAAGAGGGACGGCAGACATCTATCCATATGGGTCCCACCTCATCTCCCACCGTCCCTCTTGGATAGTTGGATGAGAAAGGATGAATGATAATTGATGGTAGGGAAAATAACAATTAAGTACCACTGATCAAAATTTATATCAACCGACTGTTATCAAAACTAGAATTAACTGTTGTTAATTTAAAATGAATTGTTATTAAAATTTGAATGGATACTTATTAATAAAAAAACTAACCTAAATGTTCAAGTACCCATTTAAATTTTGATAATAATTGATTTTTAACTTACATAAATTTTGATCAATGATTCTTGATTGTATTTTCCCTTCATAATAAGACCTTTCTTAATGCCAATGGCTAAATATTTTTTTTTTTAATACAAGACCATGGAGAACTTGTGCATGAGAAAAACAAAAACCTGGTCATGTCAATATTGCTGGACATGTTTTTTGCAAGGGACTTGTCGATGGTCATGTGGATGGCTAAGTTAATAGTGCTGGACATGCTTCTTGTGAAGAACTTGTCAGAGATTATGAAGGAAGATGGAAATGTGGTTTTGCAAAAAAACTTGGGGTTATTTTGATTATCAAGGCGGAACTCATGGCTTTGTTGGTTTCATGGTTTTAGGAAAATTAAACTTTGAACTAAATCTCTAAAGACTATACTTGGAATTATGAACGCCTATGGCATTAACTACTCAACTTTGAACATTGTTCAAGATATCATAAATCTTTTAAGAAAAGATTAGGAGCTTGCTTACGAGTATGTATTTAGGAAAACTAATTTATAATTTATGTGCTGATTACATTGTTAATTCTGCTCATGATATCAACTCAAAAGGTTATGACACTTGAGGATCCTCCTCATGATTGTTGTAATTTACTTTATTCGCGTAGGGCTTTTCCTTTGCCTTGTTTCCAAATTAAAAGGAAAAAAAAAAGAAAATATTTATATTTTTTGTTCAAATGTTTGTGTTAAAAATCTTGGATAAATCTTATGTATATAATACTTAAAAAATAATATTTACTGCAATTTGGTTTTAGTTCTACTGGGGGTTTGGTGGACTGAAAATGATTCAATAATTCTAAGAGTATGATAAAGATAACAAGAAAAATCATGATAAAATTTGTCGAGTTAAATTAAATGGTAGATAGCTATGATACGAAAACCATAATAATGACTACTTGCAGGCACAGCTAGAATGAACAAGGTATCATAAAAATTTTGAAAACCAGACTTGTCATACCAATCAAATTACTAATTCAAGAGTTAATGGTTGAATTGTAGTTGAACCATATCAAATTAATTATGAACTGTTTATTTTATTACATCGATAAATACACTAATTTAACTTTTTTTTAATAATTATCATAAATAATTTTAGAATAATTTTATAACTTGAAAAGTTGTTATATAATACTTCTTCCAATCATATATAGTCAATTCTAATTATTTAATTCAAATGAATAAGAGGTAGTTAAATTATTGATATTGTCTAAAAAATAAAATCTTTCATTCTATCTACAGAAAGTTGTGAAAGGGTAAAACTGAAAAAATAATAATTAATGATTCATTAAAAGATTTCTATGATACAAAAACAATACTAATAACTATGGGGGCAGAGCTAGAATGACTAACATTTTTTGTAGGTACTGAAAACTGAAATAATTATTAAACTAATTAAGGCACTGATTCAACAATTAAAAGTTGAAATGAATAAAATTTTTATAAAGTTATTATTAACTTATATAAGATGCTAGTATCATATTAGTTACTATGTGTCTATTTTTAATATGACATGGTAATTTATGTTAATGAAAATAAGAGTAAAATACACAAATTACTCTTCTATTTTGAAAAATTATACAAACAATCCTTAAAATTAAAATATGTGTTACATAAACCCTATTGTATATTTCAAATTTCATTTTCATCTATCTAACAATAAGTCTACTATTAAGTTTCACTTTTAAGTTATTAACTTAACCAAAATGCCCCTCTTTAATATAATAATTATCTAAACATCTAAATTTCTCAAAAAAAAATATTTTGTATACAAATAAAAATATAATAAGTACATTTTTAAACTTTTATTATATTATAAATTTATTATTTTTTTATGATTATAAGATTTTATTATGTTAATCTTTATCAAATTTACTGAAACTTACTTATTTATGTTTTTTAAAGTTTCTAAAATTCTAAATTTAAAATGATAAGTTTGAGAGATATATAAATCATTTAAATTTAAAATTTGTAAACATATTTTTCGACAAACATTTATAGACACAATTGATTTTATTTAAAAAATTAATCATATTTTAATCAAATTTTTTTTATGTCTTCTTCAACTAAAAATTACTTTAAGAATGGTCGGGGTACTTTATTCTAAAAATAATAATAAGAGCATTTGTAATAAAAAATAATTAATATATACTCTCTCCGTTCAAAAATGTAAGGCATTTTTAATCGAATCTCACTCTTCAATAAAACAGTTGCCTACTTTCAAACTAACCCCTATCTTTTTATATTTATTCTTACTAAACATCCTATAATAAATATAAAGTCATTATCAATAAGGATACTTTTAAAAAAAAAGGTAATAATTACACATCAAAAAATTAAAAATGTTTTACATTTTTTAACATCTAACTCTTCAAAAATGTTTTATATTTTTGAACAGAGGGAGTATAATTTAAATTGAAAAAGAAGAAAGAGAATTCCTAGGTCTTGTTCTGTTGTTAGAAAAATACAAATAAAATGGATCGAAAAATTGAAATAAAAATAAATTAAGTCACTCTTTTTCTCTATAATAAGTATGATAAAATTTAATATTATATGTTACAAATATAAATATTATCACACCTTTTAAAAATATCACGAATTATGACTCATAATCCTATAAAATAAATTACTTTCCTCCTTTATAAATATAGTTCACTTATCTTCCTCCACATTTTAATTATTTTATTTTTATTTTTATTTTTTCAATCTATTCTATTATATTTAGGAAAAATAAAAATTAGAGATTTTATAAGAATATTAATAACAATTACATAAGTAAATTATTAAAATTTTAATAATAAATCATGGTCTTTATTTGTTATAAATTATCTTTTATTGCTTGATTTGAAATTCAAAACAGATTGTATTAAATTTCTAACTAATGTTATAAAGATTTTCAACTATCTTTTATTTATTTTCTAAGTGATGGCAAAAAATCACAAGTAATTGGCTTGTGATTCATAACTGATTTTCTTAAATTTTCAATCAAAGTTATAAATTATTTTAAATGTATTTAGAAAATGTTTTAGGTAATTTATCTATATATTAAAAGCAAAAAAATATAAATAATTGATTTGTAATTCACAACTAACTCTTATAAATTTTTAATTAATATTATGAATAATTTTAAATATATTTACTTAATTTTTTAAGTGATTTACTTGTATATTGAAAGAAAAAAAAAATAAAATTCTCAACTATCTCTCATAAATGTTCAACTGACTCTATAAATAATTTTAAATTTTAAATATAGTTAGTATATTTTTTAAACTAAATATTTATAATTTCTTACTATGCTCTTCAATTAAAATTTCAATAAGGTAAATTTTATAATTGTGATTAATTACTGTTTTCTAATTCTCATTTCCCCTTGTATTTAACCAAACGGGACCTTAGAGATGGAAGCATTACCTATTGAAGGTGGAGTTGACTGGACTCTGCATTTCTGATTTCACGAGTAATGGAGAGAGGAAGACCGGAAACCAGTGGTGAATACTGTCACTTTCTATTTTCCTAGTCCCTTGGATCTACTTTCTTTGAAGTTCATTTATTTATTTTGACCAACACTGTCTTTGAATAATTGAATCTGATCATCCTGATAAGACATAAAAGCACACAGGGAACCAAAAGTCAGACAACTATTTATTGCTCAATAAATTCAATGCCAGTCAAGAGAAGCAAGACATTGGGACCTCCCAACGCAAGTCGAATCGTCATGGTCATCACTGACTTGGCTGCATTCCATCCGGAGCCATAGGTTTGTTTCTACTTGAATACGACCCCAATCTTCTACTCGTTCCTTGTTTGGTGGCCGAGAATTTGGGGGTTTTTGGGGGGATTTTCATTTACGTGAACCGTCAGAAATTATATCTTGTTGCGTCTCTTTTCCTTGTGATTGCGTTTCTATTTCACACCCATTTTGTTGACTTGATTGCTCATTCTATAAGCTAAGCTCTCATGTTTTATTTACTGATAAAACTAGGATCTTGTTGACTTGATTTCCTATTGTCACTGCTTGATATTCTTTTCGTCTGCTTCCTGTGATTTCTTAAGAGTAAACTAGTGTGGCGTAATGCTTGGAGTCTGAGAAATTCGGCTTATTATAATTTTTTGTAACACACATAGAATAGATAGATATTAGAAAATTTTAATGCTCCAGTACCACCAGCTGCCATGGCTGAGCAATCACCATTTTCCTCTTCCTTCTCTCATGGGTGGACTTACGATGTCTTTCTTAATTTTAGAGGTGAAGATACTCGCTTTGATTTTGCTAGAAACCTTTATGAGGCTCTACAACAAAGGGGTCTTCGTACTTTTATGGATGACGAAAGGCTTAGAAAAGGGGAAAAGATCACACCATCACTTCTCAAAGCAATCCAAGAGTCTAGGATAGCTATCACTATTTTCTCAAGAAACTATGCTTCCTCTGTATTTTGTTTAGATGAGCTTGTTCAGATCCTCGAGCATATAAATAAGAACTGTAGATTGGTTTTGCCCATTTTTTTATAGCGTGGTTCCGTCAGAAGTACGAACCCAGAGAAAAAATTATGGAGAAGCATTTGCTCTGCAAGAGAAAAGGTTTAAAGATGACAAGGAGAAGGTACAAAAATGGAGGCGGGCTCTACAAGAAGCTGCAAGTCTCTCTGGTTTCCAATTCAAACCCGGGTATTTAAACACACTGACTCTCTTGTAGTTTAGATCTTTTATTTGTTTTTTTTTTTCCTCATATTGATGGTTTCAACCATGTTAATATCTTGGAGAGGATAAGATACAAATAATGACTGGATTCAAAATTTGAAGCTTTATACTTTTCCTATTAGTGTTTATTTGTTGTAGAATAGAATTGAATACAGAGAACGCACTTATTTGGGCTAATATAGTCTACTGTGCGCATTTTGTTTGATAGTTAGTCTTTTACAGATATACATGCATGGATGCGTGACATACATATAAACATAAATATCTAAGTGTGGCCAAGAATCATGAACGCTGCATGATCAAAAGTGTGCAAATCTTATACATGAGACGTTTTGTGTCTGAGTGCTTCTTTTGATGCGTTTGATGTGAATCTGAGCTGTGACAATATCAAAATATTGATTTGATGCACTTATTAGTTTGAATTTTCGCAACAAATTATTATTGGTGCAGGAATACATATAAATGTGCTTTTATCAAAGCGATTGTTAAAGAGGTCACTAGGAAGATTCACCATAGACCATTACATGTTGCCGATCATCCAGTTGGGCTTGAGCCTCAAGTGCTAAAAGTAAACTCTCTTCTAGATGTTGGGTTTGATGAAGAAGTCCGAATGGTAGGAATATGTGGTACTGGTGGGATAGGAAAATCAACAATTGCTCGAGCAGTATGCAGTTTGATTGTGGACTCATTTGAAGGCTTTTGTTTTCTTGCTGATGTTAGAGAAAACTCAATCAATCATGGCCTTGTATATCTCCAGGAAATGCTTCTTTCTGAAGTGTTTGAGGCAGACATTAAGTTAAGAGATGTTAATGAAGGAATTCCAATAATAAAGCACCGGCTCCACAAAAAGAAGGTTGCAAATTTTTAAGACGGGTATCTGACTTATCCGCAGTCCCAGATTTGAGGGAATTGTGTTTGGAAGGCTGCACCAAGTTAACTGAAGTTCATGTTTCCGTTGGATTTCTTGGTAAACTTAAAAGGTTGAGTGTTAAAAAATGTTTGAAGCTCAGGACCTTTCCAAGTATCAGGTTGACATCCCTAGAGTTTCTTGACCTGTCAGGGTGCTCCAGCCTCACAAGATTCCCAGAAATATTAGGTACGATGGAGAATATCAAAGATGTCTGTTTGGACTGTAGTGGCATAGAAGAATTGCCTTTGTCATTTAAAAGCCTTGTTAACTTGGAAAAATTAGAACTTACATTTTGTAAAGGTATTGAATAAATTAGAGGGATTCCCCCAAACCTAAAAGAATTGTGAGCAGTAAACCTTGATTGGTTCTCACACTTGAGTTCAGAGTCTCGTAGAATCTTACTATGTCAGATTAGTCTCTCTCTTTCACTCTTAATTGGATCTATATGATGACTTATAAACCACTTGAAATAGTTGGTTCCAGCATGCATATAATGAAATGTTATTGTTTGATAAAAAATGACATGACACGTAAACAGAACAACAAATTAATCATATTTCGAGGATTGATTGTTTTTTCTTGATGTGGTGTTTCTATCGTAGGAACTAGCTTATTTTATGAATTGCTATTATGCTAGTTAAAATTAGGAAGGCTCGTTACTCTATAGATGGATCTCTCAAATTCTCCTTCCACAACACTAATCTTTGTAATGGACTGATGGTATTGTTCTTAATCCAATTTTCGACAGGCTTTACGTGAGGTTGATGGCTTGAAGTTCATAGTAGAAGAAGACAAGACACCAGAATGGCTTGACCACCTTGTCATTGGAAATTCATTGTCTTTTTTGTTCCAAAAGGAATTCCCAAACATGGCTGTATGTTTTGCTGCATTAATTGAGGACCCGTGGCACTTACCACCAAAACTGCTGTTTGATGTCCGGATTAATGGCGCAGATGTTGGACTCCCAGATGCTCAAACAATTCTTGGATCACTTGCATCACGACATATCTTTATGTTTGATTTGCAGTGCCTAGTTCTTGAGGATAAACTCAAGAATGTAGTTTTAGATAGTGGATGGAACCTCGTGGAGATATCCTGTTTCTTGAGTTACATAAATTGCTCCCATCCAGGGGAAAGTGGAGTAGCTAGGGCCAAATGGAGTGGAGCCTGTGTGTACAAGCAAAAATCCAGAATGGTAGATATTCGATTCATAAATCATAGCCAGGAACAAGAAACAGTACCTGAGTTTTTGAAAGGATCTTCCATGAGTCCAGACAGTTATGCTGAGCTAGTCCTGCGTAGAATGAAGCGGTCCGATTTCGAAGTCTGTACCAACAATGCAGGCATTTCCCTTTTACCTGAGTCCACAGCTCAGTCTCATTCAGTCACTGAGAGAAACAATAAAAAGAGAAAAAGAAAGAGGCATGGGAATCATCTATCTATACAGGTCCCATCTCTTCTCGGTTTCTCTCATTGTACCTCTTTGACGATAAACATTGTATGATGGTTTGTTTTGTCATTTAATTCACCAACATTTCTTTAAGTTAAGGGTATCATTTTTGGATGGAGAAAGACAAACTTACCTGGACATTGTAAGGTTCATTATTTAGGAAAATTTTGATATTTTGTATGTTTTTAAAATTGAGATTATCAGCTTCTTGCACAGTATATAAAATTTTAATCCTTTCGTCAGAAAGACACGATTCAGAGGTTCATGATTCAGATGAGGAAAAGGAGACAATTTGTGTAAATGACTAAATATCGTGAAATTCATTATCCATTTTTGTTATGTACACACGCGCACACATTGGGTTTATCATTGTAGGTTGATATTATCAACTTTCTAAAATTGATTTCAAAATCTGCCAAGGCAGTGCTAATGAGAAGATAATAAGCTGATCGGTTGTATCAACTTTGGACAGAGTTTACGCAATGTTTGGACATTGGAAAGGTTCATTATTCAGATGCAGGTTTCAAACTTTCTATATTCAATTTCCTATAAGGCGAAAAATGAAGAGAACTCTCTTGACTTGCGAAGTAACTTAATTAATAAATACTAAAATTTTAAATTACATTACATGTAGATTCTTTTAAATTGTATTTGGTCCTATCTGGTATCTATATATGAACCTCCGTAATTCTTAAAAGACTCGTTTTATTGTTAAAAATAAATGAAATAGGTTGATAAATAATAAAATATGGATTAAAATATGATTATAGATTGAAAGAGGGGTAAGAATAATAAAAAGAAGAAAGCCATGGAGCAATGGAGATATGAGAACATGACATAAATAAGATCATCAATCTTCATTTTGACTTACATTACTCTTATAACTCTTCTCTCTTTATCATTCTCATATAGTCATATCTCCATCAATCAATGACCTTATCTTAGTCCATTATATTCCTCATCAATCCATTCTATTTCTTTCCAATAACAAAATGGGCTCGAAGTGTTTATGTTTTGCTTATAGATCATTAAGACAACATTTAGTTTTTAATCATGCTTTGCAGAAGTTTTGGTCTGATTATCATGGGTTTTAGAGAATGTAAAATTTTTATTGTTCTCTTCAAATGCTAGTTTGCCATGAACAGAAGAGGACCTTTTTCCCCCCTCGATATGAGGTATAAATGGTAGTATAAAAATATTTTTTTTTGGGACTACAAAGGTAAGCAAAAGCTTGAAAGGAAAATCTAGAAGAAACTACAAACTACTAAGTAGCAGCAACAGGACTCGGCAGACAAGGACAAGCAAACCGTTTACCTGCAAGAACCTTGGTACTATAAAAATATTGACTAGGTGAATTAGACTAAATTTTATTGCCATAATTTTAAATTCTAAAAACAATTTTCCTTTTAACTTAACAATTCTTTCAAGGTTCAAGTGAAAAGATGCCTACGTTAGGACTGCTTTTGATGACTCTGAAATCAACATGGGGCCACTTGTTCCTGCGCAAGATTAACTTTGCAGAACTGTGGAGAGATTCCCCATTAGGGTTTTTGAATTTGATATCTTCCATTCTAGATTTCTCCCTGTACACATATATCCCACCCCATGCTGCTGGTAAGTGCTTCTTCCTATGAGTCAAGTAATAAGAAATCTCAACGTGGTTCCATTGACGCTCTAAGACCACACTCTTTAGTTTGTCCTCAGGAACTAGGCGTCGAAAATCAAACAGAAACACATGTTGTGATGTAATTCTTCCATCAATTACATGACGCTCTAGATTCTCAATGAGTTTGCCATTGATAGAGAGCCAACCATCCAGACAAGGCTTTCTAAAATATCTTTCATCATCAACTTTTCCGGCAAAACAAAGGGCCATGTTTGGGAACTTGTTTCGGATCCAGAAACACATTGAACCTCCCTTAGTATAGTGATCAAACCATTCTGGCATCCTGTCTTCTTGTATTACAAACCTCAAGTCATCAACCTCTCGTAATGCCTGTTTCAGTAGTACATTACTTTAGAACAAAGTCATCGTGTGTACTATTCTACAATGGATAAGAACAAGACAAATAACATGATGCAAGTTTTCACTCAAGAAATAGGATATACTTTATTCTTTAGAATATAGAGTACAGACCATTTTGCAAAACATGAGTTTGGCTCAAACACAGAAAAGTAAGAGAACATATATGATTGCTTTAGCTCAAATGTTGATTGAGGGGCATACTTAGCCTCAAACATGAGTTTAAGAGAACCAAATAAGTGAAATCATGGTTATTTTGGGTCAACATGGGTTTGCGTCTTGCGAATAGGAAGCTAGACGTATAGCATTAGAGCTATCATATATTATTCCAAGAGTCTGTTAGCTCAATGACACCCCATACTCTCCTGAAAGAGGGAGGTTTGGATTCTGTATCTTATGTAGTGAAGGGGTGGGCATGTGTGAGTGTGATGAGTGCGTGTGTTACTCTTCCCTTTGGGAGAAGGATCAACCCTCCTTATAGGGGAAGGAAAAGATATGTAGGGGTGTATGAGTGTTTGTATTTGATCCATTTTAAAAGAAAAAATCATGTATACTATCAAGTGGTTCATAAATTGCCATATGAAAAAGCTGCCAGAAGGGTTGTAAAGATGGATAGGTAAGTTAACCTGATTCAGCAATACGCTACCAGACTTCAAATTCAAGTCCACCACCTCCAATTCTTTCAAGTTTGGCGGAATGGCTCTAACTTTTCGAAGAACATCACAGTATGAAAGTTTTAATTTTTGCAAGCCAATCAGATTTTTGAATGACAGTGGCAATTCTTCTATGCCACTATAGTCTAGACGAATGTCTCTAATATTTTCCATGGGTTGTAATATCTCTGGGAATCTTCGAAGGCTGGAGCACCATGAGAGATCAAGAAATTCAAGGCATAACAACCTAATGCCTGGAAAGCTCTCAAGCTTCTTGCAATTTTTGACACTTAACCTTTTAAGTTTGTTTAGTAATGCAACGGAAGCATGAAATTTACTTAAATTGATGCAGTTTGAAAGACATAGTTCCTTCAAATTTGGGACTCCATCTAAGTTAGGAACTTCTCTTAAAAATTTACAGCCTCTGAAATCCATCACACTCACTGATTGAAACCCCTGCAAAACAAACAAGACAAAGTTAAGTTGCTAGTCATAATAATTTGTAAGTAATAGATATATGAAACATCATTAAATAATACTTAAGTGATTAAACACACTTGTAGAGGATCTCTTTTGAAGTACTTTTTGAAGTTATAAACAAATACAGAGAATGTGGGATCCACATGATGTGCAGAGATGGCACGGCCATCTTTTTATTTCTATATCTCTCACTAACTTTATTTCTGTGAAGTACTTTGCAAGATCCACAGCCAGATTTATATAAACACCAGAGTTGATGATCAAAATTTCGATAATCTATAAGTAATTATTTACATACCTTGAATGGTTCATCCAGTATGAGGAAACTCTGAGGCATCTTGAGGATAATGAGTTCCCTGGGATAAAAATCAGGTGGAAAAGATGAACAAGGATATTTCTTCCAATCTAGCACTCTTAAACTATTTGGAAGCTGCTTGGGACTTGTGGAAAATCTTGCATTTCTAACCATAAGAATCTTAAGATTTGGCATCTTTTTGAAAGCCATTCCACTCCAATTAATCTCTTCATCTCCAGGCATGTCCAAATTTATGGCTTCAATATTCTCAGTTCCCTTTCAAACCAAATCATACATGTCAACCACAAATACGTTAGATGAATTAGGAATTGAAAATACAGATAGATGATTGTTACTATACCTTGTTTTCTTCCAAAACATGAATGATGTCTTTATGATACCATAACCTAGAGCGTTTTCCAGGCTCTTTTGGTGATTGTTGTCGAACAATTTCTCTACCCATGTCTTGAATTAATTGATGCATTGTCACACGACCAGAATCAATCTTTATGAGACATTTATCAATCAACACATTAATATCATAATCTGGACATATACCTCGAGCATATAGAGCACTTTTGACATATTCTAAGCTGTCTTCTTTAAAACAACAAGCAATGTCAAGAAAAATTTCTTGCTCATATTCCTCTAAAGAATCATAGCTTACTTTGAGTACTTGCTGGATCTCTTTAATGGGAATTCTTTGGTAATTTTCTAATGCAGAATTCCAATCATTTATTCCCTTATTGAATAAGTTGGAACCTATAACTTCTAAAGCTAATGGAAGACCACAAGCATACAATACGACATTGTTTAAGTTGTCCTTGTAACTTGCATCAACTTTATTTTCTCTAAAGGCGTTCCATTTAAGCAATTCAAGGGCTTCTTCTTGATTTAAGCTCTCTACCTCATAAATTCTTTCAATGCCATGTCTTGCCAACAAATGCTTATCTCTTGTTGTCACAATAATTCTACTTCCAGAACCAAACCAATCAGGTGCCCCAACAATTGCTTGTAATTGTTTTGGCTTATCAACATCATCAAGAATTAGAAGAACCTTCTTCCGTTGGAGTCTCAGTTTTATTATTGAGATTCCTTCGTTGACATCACTAATGTTGATACCCTTCCCAATCACTTGGGAAAGAAGTTTTTTCTGGAGATAAACAAGGCCATTTTTAATTGAATTTTCTCTAACGTCAGCAAGAAAACAGAAGGCTTCAAATGGGTCAACAATCATATTGCACACTGCTCGAGCGAGTGTTGTTTTTCCAATCCCGCCAATTCCACAAATCCCCACCATTTTGACTCCCTTGTTGCATCCAACAGCTAGAAGGGAAATTACTTTTGGCACTCGAGACTCAAGTCCAATCGGATAGTTAGCAATATGGAAAGGTTGATGATTCAACCTCCTTGAGATTTCTTTAATGATCCCCTCAATGAAATCAGATTCAAGTTCAAGCCTGTCCCAATATAATTATAGCAATTTGTGAAAATTCATGTGAAGAATTATTCTGGTACGAGTTAAGTTCAATGGAAACACATCAAATTATATATTTGGACACAATATACCACTTTGAAATAAGCATTGAACACTTTAGATCAGCAATCAAATTAACTTATAGAGTACATCCAAAATTAGCACATACTTTGATTGGCTTTATTTTTATTCCTTGAGACACAAATAGTAACAATTTAAGTTCATACGATTTGGCTTCAAATCCTGTAGTTCGTGCTCAGATCAAGCATATTAAAATAGATACATGCATTTATATATATTCAGGATAATGTCATTATTGATATTGAGGAAGTTATGATTAGCTATGTACCATCCCAGAAACAACTTGCTTGCTGATCACTCCCTTGCTAATTAATTAAATCACTAACACACAACAGGTTAATATAGTTCCATTTTTCTTAATTTGATATAGTTTGACATGTATTAAACGCTTAACGAACACTTATACTATCACACTATATACATACAAGACTTTATGACATAAAGTCATTATCGAGCAAGTAAAATATGTAAAGAAGGATAATTGATACACATACCCTTGCTTAAAATGGAAACCAGAAATATCAGCAGCATCTTGCAAAGCCATCCTCCATTTTCGCACCTTGTCATTCTCAAACCTTTTCTCAAGCTTGGCAAACGCTTCCCCAAAGTTTTTGGTTTGATGTCGCGCTTCTGATGGATCCATGTCGTAGAAAATAGGCAAAACCAATCGACCATTTTTCTTTATACACTCAAGGATCTGAACAAGCTCGTCCAAACAAAATGGTGAGGAAGCATAGTTTTTGGAGAAAACAATGATACCAATTCTGGACTCTTTGATGGCTCTGAAAAGCGAAGTTGAAATCTGTTCGCCAGATGTAAGGCCCCGGTTATCTATAAATGTATGAATACCCTTCTGATGCAGAGCCTTGTAGAGATTTGTGGTAAAATCAAAGCGAGTATCTTCGCCCCTGAAGTTGAGAAACACATCGTAAGTCCATCCATAGGTGAAGGAAGAGGAAAATGATGATTGATCTGATCCCATGGTACCTGTTGATGAAGTAAAGCAACTAATATATTTTGATCTCCATTGTACTATTTTTCTTGGAAGAAACTTATGGAAGATGTAAATTACTTTTGTAGCATTTTAATATTTACTTTTGTATCTAGAGAGATCTGAACATTAACTTCATCTGATTAAATTATTAATTTTTTTTAATAGGTAAGAAAATTTAATTTAAATAGAGTAGTTTTGCCTTTATAATATAAACTTGATGAATGAATAATTGTGATTTGAGTTTCAAAAGCTCTCCTCTTTTTCTCTTCGCGTCTGTCTCCCTCCCTTGCTCTCCCATTATTCTGTTCTTCATCTTCTTCATTTTTACCTCCTTATTTCTAATTTCTCTCTACTCTCTCCCCCTGTCCAGCACTGCACAAGTGTGTGAGTGTGTGTTACATCACTTATCTGCAGTGAAATGGATGTTGTAGTTTGTGAAGAGGAGGAGACTTTGGGAGTCAGGAGGGAAGCCCGAAGCCTCTCCTTCAATGGAGGTGCATAATTTTTTTTTATTTTATATTTTTTAAAATAAAAATTTTAATTTATAAAAATTTTATTTTTTTACTAAAAATATAATTATATTAAAAAAATTAATATTAAATATATACCATTTAAGTTAATTTTTAATTTTTAATTTTTTTTTAAAATAAAATTTGGACCGTGAACGATCGAACTCATGCATCTCGAGATGTGGAGAAGGCGGGAAGCTAGCTCCGCAAATTTGACTGATGAATTGTTTTGCTTTCCAGACCCTTCTTTGCTAGTTGTTGCAAGCAATGGACTCCAACGAGGAATTTGAATAGCAAGCAAGAGTGAAATTTTTTTTTTTTATTCTTATGTGGACTAAAGTCCACTTCTAATTGTTTGATTTTATGTACTTTTATCTTATAAAATTAAAATAAATAAATTTTAATATGCTAATTGTTGCACCCAAAAATGTGACGCGGACGGCTCACGAGAGCGGAGGTTTCGACCTTCACAACGAAAACCGGTTGAATGAAAGTCACTATCAAAATTTTAAAAAAAATCTTGAAAAACTATTTAAAGAAAATAAAGATGGTCTGTGAAATCAAAAACAGGTTGGAGAGTTGATTGAGTGTAGAGAAGATGTTAAGCACCCTACAACACCACTCATAAGAACGATTACTTAAATTAATTATACTAAATTAATATGATTTTAAAGTTTTTTTAATTATCTCTTTCTTATTCACATATTTTTTTAAATGATAATAATAAAATAAAAATTATTTATTTATTTATAAGGGAGGATTTAATTCAGAATTAGGTCTTAAGGCCTACATACCTTACAATAAGGATCAAAGTTCACATAGCTTAGGATTATAAATTGTTGGTGAAATTTTGATATGCGTGTTTTAAATTGTAAAAAGTAATTTAATTTAAATTATTTTCTCAATTTTTGAAATTTTAAAGTAAGAAAAAGGAAAAGAGTTTGAAATTATTTTTTATATTTTATGATTGAAAATTTAACCGTCATACATGCAAAGCCTTATTGGCTCATATAATAATAAATTATTTTAAATATTTACAGAAATTTTAAAATCTCACACGATACAAAAATTTAATAACTTAATTTATTTATTTGTATTAATAATGATTTCTTAAGCATGTATATACATATATTTATTTTAAAGACTCTTAATTATTATACCTGTAAAGCTTTATTAATTAATACGGTGATATAATTATTCTAAATATCTACAGAGGTTCAAAATTCTTACACAATAAAGGATTAAATAATATACATTTAACTATATTTTTAATCCAATTGATTTATTATGTATGTATATAATTTACATAGTTCTTTAAAAAACTTAATCGTTATATCTGCAGAGCCTTATTAACTCATACGATAATATAATTATCTTATAAGTATATAAAGATTCAAAAATCTCACTTGACCAAAAGATATAATAGTTTATTATTCAAATACATTAATTTAATTAATTAATTTTATAAAAAATATTTATTATTTTATTTACAAAATTCATTTATTTATTTCTATATAAATTGAGAATCATGATATCTGCAAGGATTTATTATTTCATACGATGAAGTAATTAATTTGAGCATTTGTGGAGATTCTTTAGATCTCACACAATACTGTTAAATATTTTATTAATTTTTAAAATTTAAAAAGAAAAAGAATTAATTTAAATAATGGGCCATTGGAACCCTGTTAATATGTACAAGTTTGATCCCTTTACTTGTGAAACTTTATTGATTTACACAATAAGAGATCATTCAAAATGTCTATAAAGATTTTTAAAATCCTCCATACCAAATATTTTTGCCATTTTGTCTGTTTCTAAACCTTGCAGGAATCCTCAACTAGCTTACAATCAATCACAAGCAGTAAGAATGCTGCTCATATTGATAATTAAAAAGCTTTTATCTTTTCCCACTGATTAAGTTGCTTAAGGAGGGCAAAAACAAAATTACAACGAGAACTCCTAACCCATCATAATTGACTGAAAATACTAACCTTAAATATGACTAAATTGAAGAATTATATTTAATTGCTTAAAGTTAAGACTTGGATTCCTATTCCCAGTGGCCTTAAAACCTCATTATGGTAACAAAAGAACACAAAAATGCAATTACTAACAAGCAATTCATATTCACAAAGAAACTCTAGAGAGAATTAGGGTTTTGTGAACTGCCTGTTGCATTGCTGGCAAAACCTTTGGTGCACGCCTGCAATGAGCACAGAAGGAGCTTTGGCATGGAACTCACAGACCTTGGAGCGGCGATGGCAATGCTTAGCCTCGCTCAGATCACTGTCACAACTTTCCACCTGACATGAAGGTGCTATTGATGATGACGACTCTCTCTTGCTGTACAGATCTCTCATCTTCTTCCTCCCATTGTCTCCAAGATTGAACCTATATGGTGATGGTCCTTTCGCTGATGTGCTCCAAAGCCCCTTTCCTTCAACCCAGTCTAGATAATCCTTCATTTCAAAAATTGCTGTGAAGCCACAATGAATGACCAGAATCTTTTTTGCTTTCTCAGCTTCGGCTTTCTCCCTTAATCACATGACGTCATCTTTTTTTTCTCTCTTTTTGAAAATTTTTGTCCTCTCCCCCCAAAAATTCGAAGCAAAATTCCAGGTCCTCTCCTCCCAAAACTCTGAAGCAAAATACCAAGTCCTCTCTCATCCACTTTGTCGTCTCAAATTTTATGTGTGAGGTGGAAGAAGATCAGAAGTCCTGTTACGTGCAGCCCTTCTCTCTGGCTTCCTGCACTTGCGTCTATGATCTTCTCTTCTGCTCTTTGCTTCTGGCTTTTTCTTTTCTTCGTTCGTGCATCTCTGCATGTGTGTGTGCTCTACTCTTCCTCTCTGGGTTTCTCTCGGTGTAGCCGACAGTGTTTAAGGTTGCTGTACCTTCATCTCTTCTCTCCGCCTTCATGCGTGAGTCTGCTCTCTCTCTCTCTCTCTCTCTCTCGCTTGTGCTCTTCTTTTCTGCTGTAATGTGTAATGTGCATACATGCATCTCTGGCTCTGTTTCTTTTCTTTTCTTCTGCAATGTGCATGCGTTTCTGCTCTGTTTCCTTTGCTTCTTTGTACATGAGTCTGCTGCTAAGTGAAGCCTTTTTTTTTTTTTGGCCTTCTTTTCATCTCTGTTCTGCTCCTTTTCTTTTCTTCAGCAACGTGCATGCATGCATCTCTGGCTCTGTTTCTTTTCTTTGCTCATGTGCTCAGATCGAATGAAGGATTAGGAGCTGATGGTTAAACGCTGGATCTGGTTTTCAGTGTTTATCCTTCGGGTTATATATCATTTTTTTTAATACCATAACCTTTTTTTAAATTATGTTGATCAATTTTAAGAATTAGATTAAGAGGAAGAAAAAACAAACTTAATTTTGAATTAAATTGGAATATCTTTTTTAAAAAAAAAATAAAACAACAAGATTTAAGAAAAGAAAATTAAAAAATTAAACTCTCAAAAATTGATTCTCATAATCTTCAAACTGTTAAGATAATTTGAGAGAGATTTTTTAAAAATTTAAGTAATATTTTTTTAATTTGTTAGATTATTATTTTTTTTTTGAAAAATAATGCTCTAAAAGAATTAAATTTCATTTTTTGTATTTTTTATATTTTTAGTCATTTTAATGAACTAAAAGAAATAAAATATTAACTAATAAAAGATTATCTAGATTAAAATAAAATTAAACCCTATTAATTTTTTTTCATTTTATCTATATTATTAAAATTTTATTTTTTGGTTGAATTTATTATTATGAAAAAATACCTGAATAAAATACCGTGTTCACACTAATAATATTAATAATAAGAATTTATTACATAATAAATAATCTATAAATAATATATGTGCCTTGATTAATTGGAAATGAACATCTTAAGTACATAGAGCTAAATATATAAGTTCTTCTTTAATTTTATACAATGTTTCACTCTCCTTTCCTAATTTTATAATTTTATAAATTATATTTTAAATCCTCTAACTTTAATATCATTAGTTTTAAATAATTACTTTTTGTATTAATTATTATTATTTTAAAAAAATTAATCTTAATATATCAATATCTGATAATATTTTTTTCAATATTTAATAATTTTTCTTGTTAATGAAATTAACTATGTTAATATTAAAGAAGTAATAAAACACGTAATAAAATAAAAAAAACTAAAAAAATTATGTAAAATTAAAAAATTAAATGTACATTTTACCTTCTATTTATAAAACAAGTTATTGACTTTTTATTATAAATTTATTATTTTACTTTTATTAAATAGTATGGAGAGAAAATATATTATAAAACTCACGGACAAATTTAAGAAAAGCAAAATTGAAAAATTATTAAGGTTAATAAATTTCAAGATTTTTTTATTCAAATGGAACACGTCACTTGCAAATAACACGAGAAGGAGTATCCATTTTGCTCACTATCGGTATGAACAATTTAAGATTATGAATAAAGAATGATTGGTTATAATAAATATTGTGATTTTTGTGAGGCTGTTGGAGGAATAGCATCTAAGTATATGGACAAATAAAAATATTGACTTGCAAAGGTCTTTTTTTCTTTTTCATTCATAAAGGATGAGAGATTCAACTAGAATCTGTCATTACAAATATAAATATGACCAATGCTTAAAGCCTCGTCTTCCAGGAGCTTTTTCAAATTGCTGGTGAATTATCCAAGTAATGCACACCTAATTTCATAGGGATAGCAAAAGATACCAAGAAGTCAACTCATTTATTTCCTTTCCTATATATGTAATCAACCTCAACTTGCCACTCCCTCTGCAAAAGAGAGTGATAATAGAATTTGATTTTTATTTTTTTTTTCGAGTTATGGATTAGAATTTTCATTTAGTCCATCCATACTCTTAACTTGCAACACTCATTAATAAAGACTTGATAAAGGATAAAACGGGAAAATAAAAATAGTAAATTTTTCCATACTTCGACAATGACTAGAAGAAGATGAAGTAGAATAGAAGGGCTCAAGAATGCTGATCAATTTAAGACCAAAATATGCTCAAGGATATGGTTGTCCGCTACTATAAGGAGCTCTTTAGTAGCAACCAAAGAACTCAATGGATGGCCAAACCACTTAATTACTGATGAAGCAGTCATAATGAAGTTGTGTTGGCATCTACTTAATTACTAATGAGAAGGTCCTTTGGGTTAAGGTTCTTCATCCAAGTACAAGTATAAAATGAATGGAAACATGAATGTTCAGAAAAAGATGAATTCTTCATTTACTTGGTGGGGAATATGTGCTGTTTGGGATAAGTTTAAAGATAGAGTAGGAAGAAAAGTGTGTGATGGAAGATCCACTCCCTTCTGGTTTAATAACTAGTTTGAAATGAATGTCCCTGTTATTGAACTTGTACCTGGTCGGCAAGGGCTCACTGACAAAGATGAAAAAGTGATTGTTTATGTTAATCAATGGAGAGAATGGGATACAAATAAGCCAAGGCGATGGTTTCATCCAAATACAATTGCTTGTATGACTAGAGCTCATCCACTCGATGAGGAGAGAAAGAGGATAAACATTTTTGAAAACGGATCTTTTACCATTAAATCTGCACATTTTTTTTGCCTTTGTACGTGTTTGACAGAATGCTCAGTGTATGGAGAACCCTTTTGAAATGGCCAATTGCAAAAACGATAAAATCCTTTATGCGGTCGTTTGCACATGGACGAACACATGCTGCTGATCTGAGGAGGAGAGGACTAGAAGTGGATGAGATTTGCCCTTTCGGATGTGACTAGATGGAGGACTCAATGCATCTACTGAGGGGTTGCCATAATGCGGCTGAACGATGGAAAGCTGTGATCAAAGAACTACATTAACACATTCCAAAATCTTCAAGGGGCTCATTAGGTGAAATGGAACTTTCACACAAATGGAGGCGGGCTCTACAAGAAGTTGCAAGTCTCTGGTTTCCATTTCAAACCCGGGTATTTAAACACACTGACCCTCTCAGACACTTTTACATTGCGAATTTTAAAAACAAAATCTAGTACGTTCTGCTGTGGTGAATTACACACACAGGGCGAAGCCTGCTTTTCACCATTCGAATTGGCCTACCCTGGCCAAGTTTCTCAAGTAACCTTGTTCTATGCCCCAACCAAGGTTCGACAAGCCCATTAACCATAAGTAAACCCCGAATTGACCAAATTGGGTCACAATCTAACAAGCCTCTTCGAATTAATTTTAAGCAATTCTTGATAAAATTTTTGGAATGTTACATCTAATGTTGTAACTACTATGATTACTAGTCTTCTAGAAAACTTGTTAATTCTTTTAACTTAATTTGTTCACCCCCTTACATTACTTGCTAACTCTATATTGGTTAAGTTGTTACCATAACTTGTAAAATTAACTACATTACTTATTAAATGCTTTACTTATAACATATTAGGAGGAGGATATTTTGGTAATGTCGTTTTATAATTTTATTTCAATTCAGGCCTTTAACATCTTGCAGTGAAATATCAAATGGTGTTAGAGTTTGATTTAAAAATATGTCACATCCAAGATTTTTAGATGCTCCCTTTTATATCGTTAACAAAACTATTTTTAAAAATAAAATGTAAGAAAAAACTAAAAAAAAAATACTTGGATAATTTCTACTGGAAGACTTAGGTCAAAAGAAAAAAAGGACTCACAAAAACCCAACTCATATGGTAGCCAAGGGTGCTACACAGTAATGGTCGACAACACTCAAACATGGTCGAGGGTCGATAGCAGTTGGCAATGATCAAAGATAACTAACAACATTCAACAATAATCAACAATAGATAGTGGCAGCTAGTAATGGTTGGTAACAATCAATGACAAATGTGAATAAAAACTTCAATTTATTCTTTTTCTTTTTAATTCAAAAGGAGATGGATGTCAACAACTCACACAGGAACCCCTAATTCGGAGATCTTCATTATCCGTCTGTGAAGCACAAGTCTCTGCCTCTTCAAAATCGATGCTAATGAAGCAACCTAAGCAAGGGCACAATTTTGAGAGAAAAAAGACAATGCTTAAGCAAAATATCATTTGCTCAACTAGCTTTTAGGGAGACATGCATATTCATGGACATACCTCTGCTCTAAGTGCCAGAGCTTCACGACTGGGTATGTGCCGGAGCCTATCCGTCAGATCTAAAATGGGATAAACAAGAAAGAGCAATGCAATGTCAATGCTAATATTACACAAAACAGTAAGTTGCAGTAATGACAGACGCACACACCTGCAGCTTGGGCTTCAACCTTGTAAATAGATTTTGCAAGATGTTGAATTTGGGCTCCCGAGTTCCTAAATTTTACACAAATACAATATTAAAACTATCTAAGATATAATCAAATAACCCATATGTTCATCTCTTAATAAATATCGCATACATGAGTTCATTATGCCCATATTTCATATTCTTCTCAGCGAGAGCTGTCCTTTCCAGCAATTTTTTGCTCTCCTTCCTCATTAAATCTACTGATAGGTTCAAGTCCTTCACATTCTTCTCAGCACTCACATACCGTGCCTATACAAAAAATTCATGTAATATAGGTGAAGACTCACACACAGACAATGCATTGGAGAAATATTTAAGCATTATAGTGTATAATATCTAGGAAAATACTCCCTATGGTCCCAAATGTAGCAGCAAGTTGAGAAGTTTGTTTTAGTGCTAAATGCAAGATCTCAGTTCATTTTGTCTCCTGAATTTATAAGTTTCCCCCAAATTATCCCTATAAATTGCACATATCAGAGGAGGGTTTCCATCAATGGGGTAGTTTCCAGTGCAAATAATCAAAAGAGGTACCTCAGGGAAGTCAACTCATTTTTTTTTTTTTTACAAATAACTAACAAAACTAATTTCCTTACTCCTTGTAAATTAGTTATCTAATAATCTAACTCATATATTTAGAACCGGAGGAATGTAATCCTTTATCTCAAATTGCAAGTTCAATAAAGAGCGGCCTGTAGATCAGAAATATTGGCAATCATAAGTCAATTGGTAAGGAGAATCATTTTGGTTGTTCAGTTGAAGAAATACCTCCTCACTTTGGAGTCGACCTAATGTATGACGAAACAAAAACCTTCTTGGAGCTGCAAAACACAAATTGATGAATACATTTTAAAGGAAAAAACTAAGAATCAATTCAAGAGGCAGCATAGCAACAACTGTTCAAAGAAAAAGTGTTGAAAAACGTCATGATGACAATTTCTAATGACAGTCAATAAAGAAAAAAATCCTAGATCTGGGTTTGCTAACATATAACACACCTAATTTAATGCCCCCAATAAGAGAAGTTTAATGCCTCCAATTAACATTTGCATCCTTCAAACTTCCTGATTACTTTCTATTAATGCCTCCGATAAAAAGAGGTTAAATGTTCCCACTCTTATTATGCATCCTACTACTATCCCAGTCCCATAACTAAGGCTTAGTTGGCTTATAAAGTGAAAAAAGCTCATGCTCTAAACTAAACATACGACTGATTCAACAATTCGACAGATGATAGAGCTTTCATTCATCTTGATGAACTTAATTTTCACTATTCCCAAAAAAAAAAAACACTAGCTTGAGAGCATAATTTGAGTGTATGGGGTGGCAAGAATAAAACTAGTGCAGCAAGTTTGACAGAGAAAGGACACTTTTCATTTTTTATTCATATCCGCACAATTTTATCCTCGAATTTCGTGTGATAGGATGGGAACAAAGGTTAGTGGCAACAGTACAAAGAAGACTGACCGTGGGGACATCTGCATTCATTTTCAAGAGTAGTTTTCATCTCATAAGTTGAAAACACTTGAAAGGCAAGATGAAAATATCTCATCACTTTTATGTCATACTTCCACTCCCATTTCAAAAATTATTTCTACACAAATGATGAAAATATCCAAGTAAGCACATGATTAAACTTCTGTTTTTCCCCAACAGCATATAGATACGAAGCTAAATTCAACTTCTTGCACTAGCAAGTGTATCAGCAACCTTGCAGCACTACTCGACATTTACAAAAGCATTAAGAGTTTTCTATTAGAGATCATTCGCAAATTTGACTCCTCTATAGTAACTTGAAAAATGCAGATAAGAATAAAACTCATTTGTCTATTGTCAAAAACCTGACAACATAAAGAAGCACTAATTTGTTTGGGAAACATTTAAAGTAAACTAATAAGAAATAACTAATCCCATGTACAAAAACCAAGAGTTTACATACCAAGTTGACTCATTCAGATACATTCAAAACACCTTGACTATTGTAAAAGACCTGACACCATGTAGAAACACTAATATTGTTTGAAAAATTTAAAGAGAACTACTAATCAGTACATTGGTACAATAAATGAAAATTATCTTATGTACAAAAGAATAGCACCTCGCATAAGAAGGGTAGCAGAAATTGCAAACCCAATAACCATGGCTGGCTGTTCCCTGGCAACCATCAATCCATCTGCAAAAAGGGGAGATCATAAATAAGTGCCATGTAAATACAACAAACACAAGAACTAACAACTACACTGGTCCGTGGGAAACCCGAACTTTAAGAATCTACACCATTCAGTGAATTATTCATCTTAGAATGAAAAAGAACGATGCCAGCCATGACTAATCACCTTTAACTTTATTGATGAAAGCATCTTCATAAGTTCTGTACTGCGATATTGCTTCAGGAAAAAAATCCTGCAAGATGATCATATTGTTTTTTGAATGAAAAAAGAATTCTTCAACGAGGAAATAATAATACATAAAATTTAAAAACAGTGGACAAGGTGAAACAAATCACACAAACACCAGGTAAAATTTTATTGTAGGCTCAACAGAAAGAGCAAAAGGAGAATGCGAAGTCAGTAAGCTCTAACTTACTTGAGCCTTGTATGAAAAATGAGGAAACAAGACAATATAGTAATAATAATTATATCAAAATCTTCTTATTAATTACAAAATCAAATCAATCCCAATCTCCCTAATTATATAGAACCAATCTTAATCAATACTAAATCAATTGTAATAAAAAATCATTATCAATAATGTTCCTCAAGCTAAAGCGTACAAGTCATATGCATGAAGCTTGTTGCAAATGTAGAGAATACAGGTCCTTTTAATGCATTTGTCAGAAGCTTAGCTGATTGTTCATTGGAGTTGACGAGGCTGGTGATAAGGGTCCTAGATAGGATATTCTCTTTCATGAAACAGCAATGAATTTCAATGTGAGAGGCCTTTTCATAAGTGGTGATCAACCTACTTTAGACTTCTTAGGTGGCAACTCAGTTATTTCTCAAGTTCTATCGTTGCCAAGAACTATCAGTTTCCTCTTGAATGGATTTCTTCAACTTTGGATTCTTTATGGCCTTCTGGTAGTTCTCTGGAATCTTTTCTGCTGACAAGTTTGCTACAAAAGCTTGTAGATCTGAAGACAGTCTTTCACAGGAAATAAAATTACTATTAATACTAGGATGTAATGTGCAAGCTCTTAACCCCCCTAAAGCAATTGGCTTACTCAACTCCTTTTCGAGTCTATTATAGAGGAAGATTATTGACGTTGCTAAGAAGGTTACATGAGTTCTTCAGCAATATGAGGCTCTTCCTGCTGCTGCAAGTACTGCAAATTGTCTGTTTTACACTTGTAATAGACCTTTAAGTCTTTGGCAGTAGGTCAATGATAAGTATATTATATTCACTTACACTAATATTATTTTGATAATCTAATATATACTGTAAATATTATATGGATATTGAATGGATCTTATATATTTTTGTTTCAATATTAATTTGCAGGATTTTTGGACTTTTAAGCCCATTCCCCCAGGGAGGGGAGGGACCAAGGCTTCCCATTTGTCTATAAATGTGGCGGCAAACAAAGGGAGAGATTGCCCTCTAAGAGGCTAAGAAACACCATCTGAAACATTCTTGAAGCACTTTAGGGAGGAACTCTAAGGAGGAGAGGTATTACAGTAAAATTGTGCAAATTTCCCTAAAGCTTAACATCCTAAAATATTTTATCTTGATTTCTCTCTTTTCTTTCCCTCTTTAGATGTTCAGGGATTTATCAATCATGAGTTTTTTCATTTCTTTTATGGGATAACATACTTAGGTATCGACTACTTTCATCCACACCAAATCACCCTATGGTTGTCTCCCCCAAATGGAAGTGTTTGTGATCCTCATGCAGCAAACCTTTGCTAGGTGCCCCTTGTCACCGCCCTGCATCAGTGTGGTAATCTTAGGAATGGACTTGTTACATCCACAACAAATCACCCATTAGTGCCCTAGGGGTGGGGTGGGGTAAGGAGGTCACTCCTTGGTCCACATGTCTACGTCACCAATAATGAAATATGTCAAACCAACAATAAAATATCAAAGCCAAAATCAATAAAACCAATCAACCTTCATGAAATATAGATGGCATATCATCCAATGTCTGATTGAACAAGATACTATCACTAAGATTACCACCCATATATTTGCTCTTTCGTTTCGGAGAAAGAAAATAGATCTATTTTACAGGTATTGAACTGATCATGGGTTCCTTCTGTTTGTATTATTCCTTGTATAATAGGGTAAATCACATTGAATCGGAAAACTACAATCATCGATAACGTAATAATCCATATTGGGAATAGCCAACGGAATATATAGAACCAGTGCCCAATGGACACAGTCAGAGAACTACAAAAGATCATTCGGAAAGAACATGGGTTCAAATGTACATGGAGAGAAAGAAAAACGAACAAAAAAAAAAACGGAAAGATAAGATAAGCAAACCTGCAAGGAACGGATATGGGTGGAAGAGTTGTGTCTCAAAGAACGAGCAGCGTGAATCGCAGAGGATTGAAGGACCGTACGTTGAAGATTCTCTGCAATCGACGCCAATGATTCGGACGATTCCAATTTTGAGGATGGTGAAGATTCATCTCTGGCAACTGTAGAGGACGGCGAGCTCGTCTCCACCATTTTTCGAATGCATGGGTGGATAGGCGGCGAACTTGGCCTTTCAATGGATCCGGCGATTTCCAATTGCAGAGAGCGAGCCCTATATATATATACGTATATAGTTATACGTAAGGATAAGGAACCTTAACGTAGGTTCTAGTGTTTTGCACCAAAACAGCAACACACTAGGAAGAGGGAGGAGAATAGAACAAGGTACTAAAATTGGATCGGCTAGTGATTAGGTCAAGGTTAGAAATTAGAGGTTTAATTGGGAGTCAACTTGAATTCAAACCAAATATAATAAAATAATATGATTTAAATAAAAATAAAATCTCCAAAACTTAATATCTTATACAATGTCACATACAAGTCCTAACACAATTCCAACAATTAATATAAGATAAATCAGTACAGTAGTGTATCATCTAATGAAAACTTCTTAATCTCAAATAATAACAGTGGAATGACAACCATTAACTTATTAATCCTGTTTAATATATACAAGGATTCTCACCCATTCATTGAATTTAATCCATTTGTGAATCACTTAACCTCCTATTAAAATTATAAAAGCTATGCATGCCTTACTGCTTATATGTATCAAGCAACTGAAATATTAAGATTATCATATGCAAAGAAAGTAAATCGAATGAACATGTCTTTGGATTCAAACAAGCCAAGATTGTGATACAGAGCAAGTAATTGAATGACCAGACTGAATCAAACATATTAAGACAATGCATTCAAACTACTAAGATTATCAGATACAGAGTAATACTGACATGCCAACACCTAAATCAAGTAGGAAGGGGGAGAGAGAAGAAGAAGATACACCTAAATCGAGTGGGCAGGATCGAGGGAGAGAGAGCAGCTGCTTGAAGCTACACCTAAAGCTCACTCTTAAGGACGATAGCTGAGACCCTCGCAACTCACTTAGTCTTAAAGATGACGGACGACAGCAACAAGAGACCATCAAAGCTCAATGACGATGCAGCAGTGAGGTCGATAAGAAACAAGTGCGAGAAAGTCGAGAATGAAGGGTGAAAAACAAAAGCCGAGAGTGAAGGGTGGAAGATAGAGAGCGAGAGATTGAAAGCAAATGCAGAGCAAGTCTGAGAGGTAGAGACTAGAGAGGCAAGTTGCGAGGCTCAAGTCAAGAACTTCGAGAGGCAAGATGAGAGATCGAGACTTGAATTTCAAGGCATCTGTGTTTCAAGCTTTCAGGTTCAACATTTATGGGTTTCCTTTTTATTTTTAATTTTTTTTATTCTAACCTCCAAAACAACATTGAATAGTCAAAATTTGAAAAATATATCAACCCACCCAACCCACCTAACCTATGGGGTTGGGCAGGTTAACACCAGGTCACCTAAGTCACTCAATTCCACTTCAAACAACAAAACTAGACTAGAAAGACAGTCAGGTTGTCAATCCAACGGGTCAGTCCAGTCTGGTTTTTAATACTATAGGATAGGGTGAAACCCATCAACACAAGAAAAAACTCAAAAAAATTTAACCTGAAACATTTATCATGAAATGTATTTCCTTCATGATAAGCATGATAAAATTTAATATTATATGTTACAAATATAAAAATCATCACACCTTTCAAAAATCTCATGAATTATAACTCACAATTCTATAAACTCAATTACCCTTCTCCTTTATGAATATAGTTTGCCTATCTCCCTCTACATTTTGATTTTTTTTATTTTTCAATCTATTCCATATTATTTAGGGAAAATGACAATTAGGGACTCCATAAGAATGTTAATGACAATCACATAAGTAAATTATTAAAATTTCAATAATAAACCATTATCTTTATTTGTAATAAATTATCTTTTATTGTTTGACTTGAAATTCAAAACAGATTTTACTAAAATTCCAACTAGCATTATAAAGATTTCCAACAATCTTTTATTTATTTTCTAAGTAATAGCAAAAAAATAATAAGTAATTGACTTGTAATTCATAACAGATTTGCCTAAAATCCCAATTGAAGTTATAAATAATTATAAGTGTATTTAATAAATTTTTTAAGTAATTTATCTATATATTAAAAGTAAAAAAAAAGCATAAGTAATTGACTTATAATTCACAACTGACTTTTATAAATTTTTAATTAACATTACAAATAATATCAAATATATGTACTTGATTTTTCAAGTGATTTACTTATATATCGACAGCAAAAAAAAAAATGAGATTCTCAACTAACTTTCTCAAGCTGATCAATTGATTGTATCAACTTTGGATAGAGTTAATGCAATGTTTAAACATTGGAAAGGTTCATTATTCAGATATAGGTTTCAAACTTTCTATATTCAATTTCTTATAAGGCATAAAATAAAGAGAGCTCTCTTGACTTGTGGAGTAACTTAATTAGTAAGGACTAAAATTTTAATTACGTTACATGCAAATTCCTTTAAATTGTATTTGTACTAGTACAAAATATGAAATTCAAGAGGCACTTTCTACATCGATTGAAAGGCAAACGATGTAGAAAGTTAAGGTGGTGGTATTTTTGTAATTTTGACAACGCGTATTATAATTTTTACATCGAGTAAAAAGGCAACCATTGTTAAAAATACTTTCTACAGCGGAAACATGGACACTCGCTGTAGAAAATATAGTTTCTAAAGCGGGTGGTAGTCACCCGCTGTAGACATACGATTTTCTACAGCGGGTGGCTTCCACCCACTGTAGAAAAACAATTTTCTACTGTAGAAAATGTGATTTTCTACAGTGGGTGGCTTGCACCTGCTGTAGAAAACCACTTTCTACAGAGGGTGAAGTGTGACCCGCTGTAGAAAGTAGTTCAATTTTTTTTACCTCTAAATTCCGCGCTTCTCCACCCTCATTTTTGTGCCTTCAGAACACTCGTGCTTCCCTCCCTCGTCCCCCTTCCCCATACTCCTTCGTCCCCACCCAGCCACCCCTCTCGGCCCACCAGTCCCCCCGTCCCCCTCCCTCGAGCACCCATCCCCACCCCTATCCCCCTGAATTTGTGCGACCTATATGTCATGAGACATATGCTCAACATTATCACATTGAGTATGACTGAATTTACAAAAGAGGTAAATATATTTTTAAGAGTTTTATTTTATTATGTTATTTGAGAGTACATAATAAGTTTCTTTTACAAATTATATTTTAGATGTTTGACAATTCGGATCCATTCCCCGAAGCTAAAATTAAAGACATTCACATACGTTGAGCAACTTATTTTGGGGAGAATTTGTGAGTTTTGTAAAAAGTTTTGTACAATTTAAAAAGTTTGTTAGTTATAGACAACTTTTGAAAACATTTGTTGACACAATGTTTTAGATAACTCAATATATAGTTCTTAGATAGTTCATAGATAACTTTGAGTTTTGGATAGTTGTTAATTTAATTTTATATTAAAAATTGTAAATAAATTGAGCTGTCTGATTTGGCTGTGGTAATTTTTGTGTACAAAGTAGGGTAAATTTAAAAATACGGTTGTTTATTTTAAAAACAAAATATACTTTTTACAGCGGTTATTGCCATAACTGGTGTAGAAATTAATATTCTACATCAGTTAATGTAAAAACTGGTGTAAAATAGCAAACTTTTTACAGCGGTTGGAACCCAGCGGATGTAGAAAGTCTACTTTCTACAGCAGTTTGAACCTAGCCAGTGTAAAAAGTGTTCCATTTTTTAATTTTTGAATCGTTGAACTATTTTGTATATCGGTTATTGTTAGCCGACGTAGAATATGTATTTTTTACAGCGGTCGTATAACCAATACGACCTATTTAACCACCTATTTAACCACTGTAAAAAGTCTAACTTTCTACATTCCCTATAACAACACCACCTATTTAACCACTGTAAAAAGTCATTTTTAACTACTATAAAAAGTCATTTTTGTAGTAGTGTTGGTCCTATTTGGCATCCATATATGAACCTTGTTAATTCTTAAAAGACTCGTTTTATTGCTAAAAATAAATGAAATAGGTTGATAAATAATAAAATATGGATTAAAATAAGATTATAGATTGAAAGAGGGGTAAGAATAATAAAAAGAAGACAGTCATGGAGTGATAGAGATATGAGAACATGACTTAACATAAATAAGATCATCAATCTTTATGTTGACTTGCATTACTCCATAACTCTCCTCTCTGTATCATTCTTATATCTCCATCAATCTATAACCTTATTTTAGTCCATTTTATTCTTCATCAATCCATTCTATTTCTTTCCAATAACAAAATGGGCTCTAAGTGTTTAATGTTTTGCTTATAAATCATTAAGACAGTATTAATTTAGTTTTTAATCATGCTTTGCAGAAGTTTTAGTCTGATTATCATGGGTTTTAGAGAATGTAAAATATTAATAGTTCTCTTGAAAAGCTGGTTTGCCATGAACAGAAGAGGAGCTTTTTTTCCCTCGATATGGGCATAAAGGGTAGTATAAAAATATTTTTTTAGAATATAAAGGTAAGCAGAAGTTTGAAAGGAAAATCTAAAAGAAACTACAAACTATTAAGCAGCAGCAACAAGACTCGACAGACAAGGACAAGCAAACCGTTTACTTACAAGAACCTTGGTAGTATAAAAATATTGACTGTGTGAATTAGACTAACTTTTATTGCCATAATTTTAAATTTTAAAAACAAGTTTCCTTTTAACTTAACAATTCCTTTAAGGTTCAAGTGAAAAGATGCCTATGTTAAGACTACTTTTGATGACTCTGAAATCAACATGAGACTACTTGTTCATGCGTAGGATTAACTTTACAGAATTATGGAGAGATTCCCTATCAGGGTTTTTGAATTTGATATCTTCCATCCTAGATTTCTCCCTATATACATATATCCCACTCGATGCTGATAGTAAGTGCTTCTTCTTGTGAGTCAAGTAATAGGAAATCTCAATGTGGTTCCATTGACGCTCTAAGACTATAGTCTTTAGTTTGTCCTCAGGAACTAAGCATCAAAAATCAAACAAAAAAACATGTTAGGATGTAATTCTTCCATCAATTACATGACACTCTAGATTCTCAATGAGTTTGCCATTAATAGACAGCCAGCCATCTAGACATGGCTTTGTGAAATATCTTTCATCATCAACTTTTTCAAAAAAAAAAAAATAAAGAGCCATGTTTGGGAACTTGTTTCGGATCCAAAAACACATTGAACCTCCCTTGG